TTTTTGGCACCTTATGAGGGCAGAGATACCATTTGAATGAGTGGAGAGATGGTTACACCAACGACACCTCAAGAATTTTTCAACATGAAACACTCCGAGCAAGAAATTGCATTGAGAGATGTTTCGGCCTCTTGAAAGCCCGTTGGAAGATTCTAAGTGAGAAATCTTTCTACCCTATCAAAACGCAGTGCAGAATAATATCCGCTTGTTGCGTACATACATACATTAGGTCTGAGATGGCCATTGACCCTATGGAAAGTGAGGTTGGTGAGATGAACAATACCCACCAGAAGCCGATCCCGAACCTGAATTTATAAGCCATGTGGAGCCAACTGATGCATGGACTGCATGGGGGATAATCTAGCACACCAGATGTTTGAAAGTTGGCAACAATCTAGGCTATTGTAATTAGTTTAGGGTGTTATTTCTAGCTAACAATAGTTATGGTGTTTTGTACTTCGTAATATATATAGACGTTTGAATGTAAATTATTTGTGTTGGAATATATGTTTTTTGTTTTTAAATCTTATATGTATAAATATATCTACTAGTTTTTGCTATTTGTGGATTGTAGCTGTTGTTTTCTGGTTCTGTGTAATTTCTTCTACTGTTGGTCTATGGCTGTTGCTGCAATCGACTTGGTGTATGTTGTAGTTCTATTTATATATGAATTGATATAATTCAGTATGTGCTTGTTCTTGGATTAATTTGGGGTGTTTTGGAGTTCTGTGTTGTTTGACTCTGTCTGTGTGGTTGTGGAAGTGGTTCTCGGTTGTTGTTGTTGTGAGTGATATTTGCAGGAGATAATAATTTTTCTTCATATTCAAAATTGCATGGGGTCGACTATTTTAGACTTGGGAGATTTTCTAGTTGGACCAAATTGTGACTCTGTATTGTTGACATCATTTGTCTGGATTATATATTTCGTTTATGGATCTTCTATTGTATAAATATATTCCTGACTTTTATTATTTAGTAAGGGGTAGTATGATTCAAGATTATTATTTGCCTAATAAATGTTTAATTTCTTTTTCTAATAGTTCATTCAACAATGGATAAGTCGGCAGCTAGTGGAAGTCAGATATGCCTTTGGCAATGTATGACCCAAGCAACAGTAATAAAGGGAAGAAAAAAGTTGGTGGAACCGGAAGCAAAAGACAATGGACAAAAGAGGAGGATGCCATTTTAGCTAATTGTCTGCTTACTTTGAAGGAATGCCGTCATTGGGGTGCTGACAATGGTACTTTAAAACTGGTTTCTGTTTCAACTAGAAAGATGATGGCAGAAAGAATTCCATCTTCTGGCTTGAAGGCAACACCACATATTGAATCACGATACAATTATTGGAAAAGGCAGTATAGTGCCATTTCAGATATGTTAAATACGGCAGTGGCTTTGGGTGGAATGATGAAGATAAATGCATAACTGCAAGCATGAATGTGTTTGAGGAGTGGGGGAAGGTAAGGTTTTTCATCTTGAATGCATCAGTAAATTTAATTTGTATATTAATTGTAAATGTCATCTATCATTTTTTCTTTACAGAGCCATCCAACTGCACAAGGATTAAGAAACAAACGTTTCCCCCACTACGACACATAGCCATTGTTTTCGGTAGGGATCGGGCAACTGGAGCTAGAGCGGAGACCAGCTGATGCAGTCGAAGATCTTGATTCAGAAATTCCAAATAACAACAATGAATCAATGGATGTTGATGTGATGCTGATAACGGGAGTAACGTTCCAAACAATGATGATGTGGCTGGCTCTGGAGCTAGTGGAACGTTAGGACAATAGTAGCAAAAAGAAAAAGAAATGTGATGGCATCTCTGAAATGGTGGACCAATGAAAAAGTGGAGGGATACGTATGAGGTTGCTTCCCGAGGGATGGAACAGGTTGCCGTAGTTTTTGGTAAATCAGAGGATGAAGTCAGCGTTGTTTGCAAAATTGAGAATTAGGACTTTAACCCCAACAGAGACGATAGATGTTTTGGAGGTAATGTGCAAAGATCAGCACAAGATAGATGTTTTCATGGGGTTGCCGGAGTCACTTAAGGAGACATATGTCTTGCGCTACTGAACGAAAGTAATGTCTACCGCCCATCTTTTAGCCCCTGAGACATGAAGTTGACGGGGTTGTATATATTTTGACTGTAATTAAGTCTATGTTGTCTTGTCTAAGGACATATAAATCCTTAGATGTTTTGATGTGTTTGTTACTGAAATGGTGATGGGTTTAGGTTCCACATGGACAGTAGATGTATATTTTGTCGATCACCCGCTAGTAAAAGGAAAGCAACGTCAAGGAGGGCTTTTGGTTTTAAACACGAAGGGAAGAAGTCCAAAGTCAGTAACCAAAGCATTTGGTGTCAATTGAAGACAGCGAAGTGTTAAGACATCTTCTGTCACGGTGGAGTAATTCTTAAAAGCATCATTTGTTGTTGCAACTTCTGATTGGATTATCTTTATTGGCAGGGAAGATGGAAGAAGAAGGCATGATGCACAATTTGATCCACTCACTGTTGAGCTCCAACTAAACTGAATCGAAACTCAAGCACCACTTTGTCGTTCAGAACTTGTAAAAATTTGGACTAAGTTTATGTTTATGACTATTGCCTCTAGATTGCTTTCAGTGGGGTGTAATATATATTGTGGTTGTGTTGGATGCTACAATCTTGTTCTAAATATTCATTTGTTGTTACATTGCTTTAGAGATTATGTATGACAAATTGTAATGGCGGGAATGAAATGGAACAGATAATCAAGTGATAAACTGATTATTTATACAGAACAGCAAAAAAAAATAAAACAATAAGCAAAGTAGCCAACCCTTAAGAACAGCTAAAAAGCCCACGGGCTGCTGCAAAAAAAGACAGGCAACCTTATACAAGACCAGCGAAAAAAACCAAATAAGACAAATAACTGCTGCCCGCAAACACTGGAAAAACAGCAGTTGCTGGTCAACAAAAAACTGCCAGTTGCCGGCTAAAATAAAAAAAAACTGCAGCAACCTCACTAGTACAACAGCAGGACAACATTTACACGCATTTCAGAATCATCATGGATGTCTTTCTAATTCTGAAGACTTCCTGCAATATCAAAATGCCATTAATCTACAGCTTTTCCCACATCTTAGCAAACCTTAAATCACCATGCAGAACACCAACATTTTAATAATAACTTCATTAACAAATTGAAGAATACATACATATCTTACTATATATAAATACCTGCAAGCATGGGAACTTAAAAGGCTGGCCAGTTTTGGCCAGTTACATAGCTTATGATCTAAGCTGTAGATTAAGAGTATCCCAACACCCAGAACTTGCCATACACCCACAGAACTAGCCAGAAACAACATATCCAATAGTGATGACCAACATTTCTACTGGGATGAGGATCAGTCTCACCAAAACCAGGAATATCATAAATCAACAAGCAAATACCAAACTCTTCCAGAAGTGAAGTCTTAAGTCCACGGATTCCTGATCAAGAAGGATACACAAAACAAATAAAAACTTTACAAATGTATGTAAAAATACTAGACAATACAATCTTTTAACACTAAGATTATCCAACCTGCAAATCAAGAGGAAAGAAACGTATGGGGAACAATTATAGAAAACCTAGCTCTGTCAACAACACCTGGCACCCTATATGCCATGTATCACCATCCGGAAGCAAAATTCGGTCAGCGCTAGCAGAAGTAGGAATACTTTCTTTATCAATGGGGTCGCTGAAGTGTTACTTCAGTAGTTACACACAATACTGCACACAGTTAACCCGTCACAGATTATATGATAGCAAAAGGAGACTGCCGCAAAACCCTTTTTCTGGTTTTTGGTTTTTAAATCACAAACAATCAAAATTGCTCCTGTCAAAACTTTAATTCGTTCCCTACATTTCTCAGAAAATAATCCACCACTGAACAGAAAAGAAAAAAAAAAATTCATCACAAAAGACAAATTTTACCTTCATTTTCTGACCTACAAAAGACAAATTTTACCATTTTTTTTACCTGCAAGAGCAAGAACAGGACGAAACAAATCACCAACCAGCATGCAGAGGAGCTTTATCTTCAGGCAAATACTCATTAAAGAATCTAAGTTGAGCACATAATTTCGCACAAGGCCCTTTAATTCTCTCGAATCCTCCCAAGATAAATGTAAAAAAAAAAAATTAATCATCAACGGAGAATATAGTGTTTGATATCAAATTAAGAGTAGTTGTGAAAGCTGCTCGGCCAATATCTATGGCTCTTCTGGCATCGCAACTTTCTTGAACATAAGAAATGAGCTGTATCACTTTCTGGCGCGCCGGAGGTGCTGATTAGCATCCAGTTTTTTAGTAGTGAAAATATTCGAGTGCTGATTTCCTGAGAGTTCTCAACTCAGTGGAGGCCGGTAGCCAAGCCATGCTGAAGTCATCATGCGGTGGGCGAGAAAGGCATTGGCGACGGAACGACCCTTTCAGTTCCTTATGAACAGCAGGGTATAAACGATACAAGCAAATAATCAGGACTGTTAAATCCATCATAAATCCCACCAAAAGCCGGAAACTGCTATCCATACGCCGTTACGTTGGTGGATTCTGGCAACCAGCGGTGGTTGCCGGCGGGACAGTGGCTGCTTTGGGGGGGGTGTATTGTTTTTAGGAAGGGCCTATTTTTGCCGAGGTTTTAAAGATAGGAGTTATAAAATATAAATAATATTATAATAAAAATATTAATTAAGGGACACTTTAGTAATTAAACAACATACCCACCAATTTATTCCTTCTAACCAAACATTTAATAAAACATACCCATCAATTATTCAAACTAACCAAACACATTTTTCTAAAGATTCCAGTAATCTTCTAAGGTAATCTATCTTTCCAGTAATCCAACATTCCTAGTAATTAACATTCCTGAACCAAACGCCCCCTATAGAGGTTCTCGTATTTATTATGTATCAAATATCAATCAATGCATTCTAGCATAGAGGCGCGATATCAAAGACAAAGTCAAATGTACCAACTTTGATGTCCTAATGCTCTATGCCCACAGCCAAGACAAAGTCAAATGTACCAATTTGATGTCCTAATGCTCTCTGCACAGCCCACGTTGTTGTTATTACTATTATAATACAACCTTTCTAATACAAAGAAAGCATATGATGCTAATTTCACAAACACCAATCGGCATGCCCTGTCTCACAATTTGATAACACAATCAAGAACTTAAAATATCTTACAATGAAAATATTTTCATTCAAAACAGTGTGCTAAAGCAACATCTATAACTATAAAACTCATCAAATTAGAGGGTCAAATTCATAGTCTTCTAATAAAACGAACAAATTTTACATCCTTGGAAGCACCCTGAACCTGATGTTGCCCGTAATTTTCATACTTATTCGTCACTTGGTGGAAAGCATCTCATCTATTTGGCCATTCTGGTTGTAGATCTCCACAAGTTTCTTTGCATATGAAGGCATGTGCTGGTTAGCTCTGAAAGCATTGAGGATCTAAATATTAATAACATACAAATGCTTTCATATTGCAATAGCTACTATAAACTACAATGCACCTTTCTTTTCCCCAAGCCCGGTTTACATGCAGATAGTTCCGGATGGTATGATAATCAAGTGAATAACGGGCAAATTCCAATCCTTTTGGACCAATCTACACCACAAAAAGGGCAAGTGTATAAGAGTATGTATTTGTTTGCTTTCACTACGGCACAGATACATTTTGAAGAAGAATCTTTACCAAGTTTAGTAAAAAAGCTATCAAATTCCCAACAAATTTCGGGGCAGGTTGAGAAGGACCCTTCCCTGAAAGAATAAAAGAGAGAATATGAGCTTCTCATTTAACAACAGAAACTAAAAGGAGGCTCGTATGAATATTTAATTTTATTTTCAGAGAATGAACATTCAGATTTAGGATGAAGAAATGAGTTCTAACATCAAAAGAAAAAGTCTGAATAATTGTTTTAGTTAGTTGAAACAGTTATGTGCATGTCTTTTTATTCTGTAGATTAGATGGTTCAAAATCAGTGCCGTGAAGTCTTTTGACAACAAGCTTATATAAGCGAAGCCCTACACCACCAAATACTAGCTGTGTGTCTAGTTAAAGTGCTTGAAAGGGATGAGTCAAATATAAAGCAGAAGTACAAGATTTACATTAGAAACTATGAAGAAGAAGCCATACGCACCCATCTTAGCATTATCATCTGCCTTAACAGTCTCCATAACAAATGGGCGTCGGTTACCCTGAAAGCAAAAATTGTTGCTTTGAAGTCAGATATTCTAGTTTAGTAAATTCCTAATGTAGTGAGAGGAAGACGTAGCATAGGCTTTACACTGCTGGTTGTTGGAATAATCTCCAAAAGGTTTTCTACCAAACTCAGCATTTCCTTTCCACGTTCATTCCTGCAATGAAGTAATGAAGAAAGAATATCATAATTTTAGTTTTCATAGAAAGAATTATGTAACTAGAATCAGAAAGCCATCACTCGTAAAGATGATGATTAAGAATAATAAGCTGCCAGCATATTTGTAATCTCAGCAATGTCGTTACCTGACAGTGACATACTGTGGATGTTGTGTCATGCTGACTCCTGGATATTTTGGAACACCCATGTATCCAACCACAAGATCCTGAATTTGGTCAAACATAATACAGCATCCCCTCAAATTAGGACAAACTAAAAAATGGTCAGTGAATTGGTTCATTTTGTTTGGATAAGTTTTAACTGATTCTAATAAGCAAAGAGACATTTTTAATTTCATTTGAATTGGTTGAACATTATAAATTTGTACCTATAACCATGAATGTCAATAGTATATTTTTAATATCAGGTGAACTTATAAGTTCTCAATATGTCATCTGCCATCAACCAAGTGATCTAAAGATCTAGAACCATCACCAAATTTTGTCAAGAGTGTAAGATTATAGTTACATTCTAATCCTCTCTGAATCTTTTTTTGACTTTGAAGTACCTTAAGTTACTAAAGGACTTTAAATAACTTCAAAAATTTGTGGAGCTTCTGACATTTTAGAAAAAAACTAGGAATGCTGGAGCTATTAACACCACGTCTCCCTACTCTTCAACTTCAACAGTCAAAAAATACTTATTGTTGGTAGGGACTAACTTAAAACACTTTCAAGCCTAATATCTCAGTAAAAAAAGAAAAATGACTAAAGATCACTGCAAACAATGGAAAAGAAGGGATTTCACATATATCTTCCAGATTATAGGTAGTTAATTTTACAATAAGAAGTCGAAGAACTTTGTTATGGCTGAGCTTGCTGTCGACTTAAATATAGAACACAAAAGTGCTTCACTGTTGAAAATGATAAAAAATCTAGAGGTAGAAATATCAATATCGTGGAGAACAACAGATTCAGAAGTTTCATTTTAACGATGGATGTGGAGTGCGCTGAATGGTTATGTATAAGAATCCTAGAGGCCACGATTGAGAAATCAAGTTCAGGATTTTTTAGAATCTATCAAGAATCTTCCAACCAAGTCTGGCTAGAGAGGCACAGCAACAGAAAAGGAGCAATGCTTAGCATCTTCAGATAGGAGGTGGAAGAAGATTGCAAAGAATCATCGTTCCTCAAGGTGTTGATTTTTGGGGGTGGAAGAAGATGGCAGAGGCTCTGAACAATATATGCAAAGGGGGGATGAGCAATTTTAGATCGAGCATTACCAAAGACAAAGTACAATGGCAACTTGCAGAACCAAAGAAATACAAGTTTTACCCAGAATGACACTCATACTAACATGTTATAACTTCATAACTTGTTAAAGGTGAAGATGTAAGAATGACACTCTTGCATTACCACCAGTGGGATATTATAAAATGAGACTTAATGAAGGTGTTTGAAGAATTTTACTATGGAAGTGTGGTCAATGAGATTACTAATGCTACTTATCTATGTCTTATTCCCGAAAAGAAAGACCGTCAAAATTACAGATTTTAGGCAATAAATCTTATCTCTAGTCTCTACAAGATAATGGCTAAAGTTCTCTCCAACAGACTGAAAGCAGTTCTTTGTGACACAATATCTTCTGCCCAATCAGCTTCTGTCAATAGTAGACAGATCTTTGATGCAATATTGGTGGCTAATGAAGTTGTTGAAGAATGTAGGAAAAAGAAGATAGAAGGGATGATGGTTAAAATTGATTTTCAATAGGCTCATGACCACGTTGATTGGGGTTTTTTAGACTTTGTCCTTGAAGAAAAAGGTTTTGGGCAGAGGTGGAGAGGTTGGATTTGAGGTTGTCTTCAATCTATGAAATTCTCTGTTTTCATCAACGGTAGACCAAGGGGTTACTTTTGTGCGACAAGAGGAATAAGGCAAGGTGACCCCTTATCCCCTTTCTTAATCACATTGGTGGCTGATGGTCTTAACAGACTCATGGAAAAAGTCATTCAAACCAAAGTTATCCAAGGCATCCAAATTAGAAAGGACAAAATTGAAGTCTCTAATCTTCAATTCGCTGATGACACTCTTTTATTTTCTGTGGCTTGCATAAACTTGATAACTTGTTAAATGTGGTGGACAATTTCAGGATACTCTCCAAGCTTAAAGTTAATAGGTCCAAAAGTCTTATTGTGGGTATTAATTCTTCAGTAAAGAAAATCCAAGCCCTAGCGAGTAAATTTGGCTTTACAGTGGGAAGTTGGCCTCTAAAGTATACGGGTTTACCCCTGGGCAATAGTCCAATAAGTTCAAGCTTTTGGGATCCAGTGGTAGAAAAAATTGAGAAAAGGCTTGAGGGATGGAAAAAAGCATTTTTATTTAAAGGAGGAAGAATTACTTTGATTAACTCGGTTTTTGGGAGCATTCCCAAATTATTTTGTGTCCTTGTTTAAGATCCTTAGCTATGATGACTGAAAAGATCATGAGAGATTTTTTACGAGTAGGTTTTGGGGAAGATAATGATTCTCCTGTAATAGGATGGAGCAAGGTGGTGAGGCCGAAGGATAGAGGGCTTGGAATTCGAATTTGGTGCTAAGAAATAAAACTTTTCAGCAAAATGGCTTTGGAGATATCCTTTGGAAAATGAAGCTCTTTGGCACAAAGTCATTGTACGGCAACCAAGCAAATGGATGGGATTCAAAAGTGATTTCCTATGGTTCTCTCTTGGAAGCCCTTGGAAAGAAATATCTAAGGAGTACTCTAAATTCATTGATCACATCAAGCTTGAGGTTGGTAATAGGAAGACTATCCACTTTTGGAGGATAAATGGTTGAAGATAAACCTTTTGTGGATCTTTCCCAGGTATATAGACTATGCAGAAGGAAGAATGCTTTCTATCTAGATTTGTGCTTCTTCTACTAATTTAGCTGTGTGTTTAACTTTATAGAAACCTTAATGATAGAGAAAGTAGAGAAGAATTCTTAAGAAGCAAATTCTCGGTCAAGTTGTCATTGATGAAACAAAAAAAGTAGAAGAGTGTGGGATGGAGAGTTGTGGGATTTCTCTTGCAAATCTTATGATTCTACGAGCAATTAATTCTGATTTGGAAGGTTAAAATCCCACCCAAAGTTCAATTTTTTGCTTGAACTTTGGCTCACGGGAGTAAATACAGCTTATGTTGTGCAAAGAAAATTGCCTAACCTGCACCTTTCTCCTTGTTGTGTTTTGTGTAAGAAAAGTTCCGAGACAATTGATCATTTATTTTTGCATTGTCAAGTGGCAGGAGGTTTATGGGGTAACTTATGCAGGGAAAGACCAGTTGGGCTATCGGCTATCCCCAAAACCTGTGGAGATTTGGAAAGAAAGGAATGCTTGCATTTTTGAAGAAAAATTGTGTAAAGATGTTAGAGGTATATAGGATAGGATTCGGTTCTTAGCATTGCTTTGGGCCTCGGTCCCTAAGGATTTTCTCAATTGTTTACTTTTCTCTATTCATCTAAATTGGGATGGGTTATTAATTAATTTGATATTCGAGTTTTTGTATAGATTGATTCACATCTATATTGTACAGCTCTTGTCCTTTTGAGAGTCTGTTGTGGACATCTGGTCCACTGCTGTAACTCTTTTTAGCATCAATACATATAATTTGTTTCCTATAAAAAAAATAAATTTTTTTTTACTAATATGGCAATATATGAAAGGTCTGAAGCTGTAGGTGAATGATTGAGTAATTACACTACCTTATCTTATAAAGGGAAAATAAACGGGGGAATACAAGTAACAGGAGCTGATATACTTTCCTAATAGTAAATAACAACTTACCGCTAAAGCATTTGTGTAGTCGAAACAGCTGTTGATATACACCAGAAAAATAAAAAATAACAATCATTATGAACAATCTTAATCTTCAATAAGCAACATAATAAAGAAAGTTACAAAATCATCTCCAAAAAGAAAAATCTTGCAGAATTAATTAATAGGAAATTCACAAAATGAGGAATGAGAATATTGCGTAATAGGAAGGGAATGCAAAACAAGATAGCACAAATTCTATTGTGCTTATTAAAATTTTCTTCTCTTTCTTTGTCCCTTGATAATTGCTTTTATAAGAAGAAATTGGTCCTCTTTGGCCACTAAATCTTGAAGGCTGATGAAACAGATGAGTATGGAATATATAGTGCAGTACATTTCTTTATTTGGAAAAAGTAAGTTAATATTTTGACAGTAATACATTAATGTATAAATATTTATGCTAAATTTTTATACTAAACTGTTAAAATTTTCTGTAGTTGTAAGTTATTATAATTTTATCACAAAAGCCACGTTAAAACTTAAGTTAATGAATTATCTTTATTATTCATGACCTGATTTATAATTTGAAGCAAAGTTCTAAGCATGCAGAAAGAACAAGAAATTACCTATAGCAAGAAGGAGCAATAACATCAACTAAATCATTTGCTGGTAGACAGAAATAAGGAACCTGTTTTAGTAAAGATTTGAAAGTGGATGAAGCAACAAAAATTCTGGGCCCAAAACCAAATTGAAAGTGCAGTGACCATGTTACCTCTTCAATGTGGCCATCTAAGTGCTTCAAGTGGACCTAGCAAAGTATAACAAACTATCTAGCATTAGTTCACATGAGAAAAAAAATTAAATGTCTGGGGATTGACAATTGCAAAAAAAAATGCTTAATGATAAAAATATGTCAGCAATCAACAATTAGTTATTAGACATTTGCACTAAAAGACATGATAGAGTAATAGATAGTTCAAGAGAGGCAGAAACCACTAGTTACACTTATAATATGTTATTCACATTTGAAAATATTTTCTTTTAAGTTTGAATTGTTCTCTTTCTTCTTTGAGTGGCAACGTGGTATGAAACATTGCCATTGTTTTGCTGCTATATTTATTAATTCAGTTATCTAAATATCCATATGCGATAAGTTAAACACACAGAGAATGAGAGGATTATTCAGAACAAACCTTGTAATCCTGCATAAACTCATAATGAAGAACTGTTTCTGGTTCATTACTTGCAGCCTTTAGAAACTTATCTAGCCCTTCTCGAGTTCCATTGTCCACTATTGCAAGACATTGTTAACAATGATTTGAATGATTTGTCAGTAAGGTAGCTGAATCCTAAAGCCATACACTACTTATCTTAGAAATCTACGAGTTGTGTAAATACCATCCCTTTTCTACCCAACTGAGCCACTAGGATAGGAAGTTTTAACAGTCTATTTAAAGCATTTTCAAAGAGCAGATGATTACACATGCAAGGCTAAATTAAAAGGATTTTGATATTTAAAAAATATTCAATATTTTCCTTTCCATTTAAAAGAAATCTAATGAGGTAAACCTTCAATGGGCATGTTTATACATCAAATTCAGTATGTTCATATAATACCCACTGCCTAGGGCCCTAGAGTACTCTAAGACTTCACATTTAAAGGATTTGTGAAATGGATAGAACATTACCACAATTGGTGCCTAAAACATAAAGCTTGTCCAAATTCAAATAGTGCTCCACAGATCTTAATGCTGCAGTTTAAGAAATTACTCTGCATTACAATAGTACAAGTCACAACAAAGAAAATGACCGAGCATAATTTTTTTTTAAAAGAGAAATCAACTATACCTTGCACTTGGCAACCCACTCCACAAAAGAGAAGATGCTTTACACCTGCAGCCTATTGTATGGAATAAATCACTGCCATATTGCTAAAAAATTGAAGTGATTATGCAAATTCCAATACATATAAGTGCACATGGAACAAGCATGAATATGAGTGGATGAATTCTTCTCATAACACATACAGTCAAATTCATGAAAGTTGTCAATCACAAATATGATATATTGGCCAGGATATTCTTATAATTGATACAAACTCACTCTTAAAAACCAGCTTGTAAGAGGAGGGAGCCCATGTGATTATTAACCCACATGCCTAGTCCATATTTTAGCGATGTGGGACTCAATGTTGGATCGTTACAATCAACCCCCCCTGGAACTGACGTCCAAAGCGGCTTGATATACCCAATTGGCAGGGCTCTATACCTCCAGGTCGCTCCATCAGTTGGGAGGGCCGTCCTAGGTGGGTGTCACTCCCATGACGTTTGCCCAGGGTGTGGTCCTGCTCTGGTACCAATTGTAACAACCACAAATTGGCAGAACTCACTCTTAAAAGTCAGCTTGTAAGAGGAGGGAACCCATGTGATTATTAACTCACATGCCTAGCCCATAGTTTAGCGATCTGTGACTCAATTTAGGATCATTACAGTGTTTTAGTCACCACATAAACTTCCTAGTTTATCTGCAAAACCGAGGTCCATCAACTCTAGGTGTCTAACCTATCAAGTGATAATGAACGAGACCTAAATGCACATACTTTGTAATTGTATAAAAAAATATGTTTACAGTCTATCTAAGTCTAAGAGTGCAAGGACTTTGATTTTAACTGCATCTCCATTACTTATCTGGAGAAAATTAGGAATATTTTCCTAACGTGGTATCTACAAAAGACAGCTATGCAAATTTGATCTACTTTTACTTTCACACAATGCTCAGACATTCCATTGCCCTGTAAACGGCACTCCAAAACATCTTTAACATCTTTTATGCAACTGTACTCAAACCTTACTGGTCTAGTGAGAGTTATGTTCTTTGTTTTAAAATGAATATTAAAGTGCAAAACGAATAAAGAGGAGATTTATTAATCAAACCTCAACTAAGGCAAGGGTATCGAGATTAGGAGATAATGTTGGCTTGACACCTTTAGCAGCCAGAACTTCTTCAGGTGTCCTATTGAAAATGAGAAGAAAATACAAAGGAACAAACAAAAATAAGAAACATAAGCAAATAGCCACACGAAAATCTCCAATCAGGAAAGTTCAAATGTTGAAGCAATCTATACTAATTAAAAAAATGTGACGTTGCAAACCTCGCTAAAACAGGCCTTGGGCTAAGTCTGTCATCTGGATCACTACAAAAACAAATTACAAAGACCATGAAACTTCACAAATTAAAGAATTCAGGTTAAATATTAAAGATTAAATATTTGTGTCATTACCTTTGTACACAAACGACAGCCTCAACCATGCCAGTTCTGAGCATCTCCATTGCAATAGTTGTTACTATCCCAGTCCACTGAGCTCCTAAAATTGAAGTCAGTCAAAGAACATACAATTCAAATTCCATATTAAAACAATAGACAGTCAAATTATGCAGAAATAACAAGATAATACCTTGAATTGGATTAGTTTTACGAGCATACAAAACTTGATCGTAGACACCTAAGTAAGTCTCTTCCAAGGAATCTATTTTTCTCCCTCTACCATGCACTACAGGTTCCAACGCCTGAATCAGAAAATGCATTAGCAAAGCGATAAGTTTGGGTTACAAAAAAAAAGACTTACTTCAATTTTAGACATGCCGTCTCCTAAGAAAGCACAAGCATTCTTCACATGAGCAATGTAGTAAGTATCACAGAGACCGCAGCGACTGCGCCATGCATGTATATGATAAAACAAATGAACTAATTAATAAATTGATGAAAACACAGCTCGGATGGAATAACAAATGAAATGTTTAGAACCTGCAATGGTCTTTGGCTGGATAAGTGCCACCTGGAGGAATGGGTTTGGAGCGTTTTCTCCAGTCTTCTCTCGGCTGCTTCACTGGTGACTTGTTGGTGGAGTTTGAGGGAGATGAAGAACAACAAACGGTACCAAAGGGAGAGAAGTTAGAAATGAAAGATGTCATGGTGATGGGCGAAGAAGCTGAAAGTTAGAAGAATGGCTTCATTCCCACCGCATCTTTTATATACACAAGATAATGCAATTACTTCCCTCCTAATTTTTACTTATCTTACGAATCATTGGATATTTCTGTAATTGTAATCCTTATGGAAAGGGCTAGGAAGGTGAGACTTTGGTTTGGGCTTAGGCCCATTATCACTGAAGAAACTTAACATTGGGCTCAGGCCTGATTTAAGACTAATGCCGACTTTAAGCAAAGGCATCGGCACTGCAACCGTTGATTCTCTATTACCTCATCCAAAGTACTCATATGGTGTGATATTAGTCATTTGATTGATTCAATATTTAATTCATTTGATTTGGAAACTTTGAGGAATTCTAAACCAGTTTATTTCAGATTTTCAATAAGAGGAAATGAAACAAAATCTGACTTCGACAATCGTGACAAAAATTATCCATTAGCTCAAAATTTAGCGACAAATAACAAAGCGGGAGTATGAATTTATTACATTGGGCGGGTTGATTGCCGTATGTCGTGAACAAATGAGTTTGGAAACAAATACCATTGAAATACAAAAATCATTCTTCAAATTTGAAGGGCTTAACGCTTAAGCCCTAAAGTTCGACAGCAAAATATGGGCACTAAACTGTGAGAGAGGATCAGAGGAATGCACACTACAGTCTATCAATTTCTATACCAGCAGCTGATTTTGGTTTGCATATCTAACAAATGTCCAATTAAAATTTAATATCTAAAACATGAAACGTTAATGGCCATAAGGGACTGTCTTTATTGTTTTCTGTGTAAAAGTAATGACAATAGGAATTCCAAATCGATGGGAAGCCCTATCAAGACAAGCTCACTTTTCTTCCCTTTTAGAAAAAGAATGGGGTTGTATAAACGACTCGAAAATTTACAAATTACGACCTCCATTGTATCGCCAAAACATGGTAGGGTAACGAGAAATAGAGGCAGAATTGACAAACTATCCTCATATGTATCAAAGAAGCTTGCTGGTTCTTCGTCTTGATGGTCCACCAGGGAAGAGCTTCATAATCCATCCCAAGACCCTTTCTACAACCTGATGGGAAAAATAGAAACAAGAGTGTTTTAATGAGAAAATCAGTATGTTGAAAATGAAATAAATCTCTAATGCAAATTTGTTTCGGGCCCAATATCAACCAGAAAAGAGATATTTGCATTTCTAGATAAACATTCATGGGTTACTACATGCTGTGGCAAAAAAATTGTAAAATCTTGGGGGCAATATTTAAAGTCATTGATAAATGGAATATCGACTTTCAATGTATATCTGATGAAAAAAAGAAAGTACCTCATCTCCCTCATCTGCATATGGAGTATTGTCATGCACAGTGTGAGGCTCAAGCTGTCTGATTGAAGTATTCCCACTAGCCATACTTTGAGCAGTCAGAAGCTCTAGTCTTTGAGTTTGAGCTTCCAGTTTTCGGGACAACTCCTTGTTCAAATCCTTCAAATATTAAAAACAAATGAGGAAAAGAATCACAAGCAAGATACAGTACAAAATATGAGAGAATTAGTCATTGGCAAGAAGTAAACAAAAGTGTAATTCTTTTGTGAAAATTAAAGATTGGAAAATAATTAGCTCAAAATCTTGGAAGAAAATATACATCCAAATGGCTCAATCCAAATCAAGCTGAACATGATCAAATAAAAACTGATTCTAACAGTCAATCCACAAGTTGCACCCTAGATATTCCCTTGCCTTAAAGCAACTTTTCTTTTCCTTTGAGCACATGGCCAATTTGAGTCCAACAAATCCAGGAAAACGAAAGGAGTATAATTTTGTATTCGAGTAACGAAAGAAAAGAAGAAAAGAATGGACAACCTGCACATAAAAGGACAAGCTAAAACAATTTATGACAAACTGAGAAAAGGATTAGCAGGATAATCATGGCCACTATAAACTCAATGAGGAAGCAAATCTGGAAAGTGAAGCAACAAAAGATAAGAGGGAAGCAAATCATAACATAGCCAAGGAGGCGTGGGAAGACATTAAAACATAGTGTTTTATTCTGAACAAGGCCCTTAACAAGATTGAATGCCTTAAAAAATCAATCAATCAACCCAAAGCAAACAAGATCAAAGGCTTTGATACTTTTAGTTGAAATTGTAAAATTAGAACTGTTGAAGTGTATAATTTTATATTAGGATACTAGGATTGTAATCAATATATATTAAGAACAAAATCTGTAAAATAAGAAGTTAGATTATTCATTTCCTAGATTATATTATTTGTTTCCCAGATTAGTTTTTTATTTTCCTATATATTGATGTATTATTTTCTGATCATAATACAAGAAATACAAACACACTATTAGTTCTCTTTGATTTTTCACATGGTATCAGAGCTACGTTGTCAAAAATTAAAAATTTTTTTTTTTCCGGCGACGATTAAGCGTCTCTCTCTGGTGGTCAGAACCTCCATCTAACCATACACGTCTCATCGTCTCTATCTCGCCGGCAGAGCCTCACAAAGATCGACGTCATCGGCCGCCGCACGTGCCTCCACACACAGTGTTTCTTTCCTACAGATCCAACTCTGATCTTTTTTGGCGAGCGTCAGTTCTCACCGCCAACACCAGCTTGCTCAGAAGACGATGGCGAGCAAAACCCACTAAGGTTCTATTGCCTTCGCTGTCAAACTCTGACAGCTTCACCAAATTCCGTCGCTATCCTCGCTGGATCTTCTTCTCCAAACTGTTTGTTTGCTCCGTGTTACCTCTGGTTCTAGTTTCTGGTCAGATTTGCTAGTTATCATGGTTACTTACAACTCAAACTCCACTTTTGGTAGTTTTTCTTTCTTGTCTCTCCCACTAATCACCACTGATAAGTTGATTGGGAGTGCGAATTCTTCTTCTTGGGCTGCCTCTGTCGAGTTATGGTGTACGGGTCAAGGTCTGGAGGATCACTTGACCACAAAGGCTACCGACATCACATCAGATAAGTCTTCCTAGATAAAAAACTTAGCTTTATTGTGTAATCTATTATGGCCGTCCATTGACTAATCTGCATTCCATTTACAAAACATACCGCACATGTTGTGAGATATGAAGTCAGGCTAAACTACTATATACCAATGATATTCAATGCTTGTATTCCGTTGTGTCCAATCTCATTCATCTAAAACAACAAGATATGAGTATGTCAGATTTTCTTGGTAAGATGGCCTCCCTCAAGGCAGAGTACAATCTTCTCCTACCCATTGGTAAATCTGCTACAGAAGATCTAGCACAATGAGATAAATTCTTCATGGTTCTAACCCTTGCTGCTATTAGTCCTGATCTCACTCTTGTATGAGATTAGATTTTAGCTAGCGCTATTGTGCGATCTCTTGATGAAGTATTTGCTAGGTTACTTCAGGTTTCATCCCCAAGTATTGTCCCCAGTTCTACCGCTGTTGACTCTTCTGCTCTGATTTCTTAGTCTCAAACTACTTATAAAGGAGAACAGGGAGATTGTGGTCGAAGCGAACGACCCAAGTGTAGTTACTGTCATCATTGGGGGCATACCAGGGAAAAATGTTACAAATTACATGGTCGCCCTACTCGGACCGCTAATGTTGCTCAAGCTGATCTTAGTTCTGACTCTTCTGAAGGACACACTCAACCATCATTAACTCACTGGGGCTGATTATGAAGAATTCTACCAGTTTCAGGCAAATAAGCAGTCTTTTTCATCTATTGCCTCTATCGCTCAATTGGGTAATTCAGTCGCAAGCCTTACTCAGTCTTCTTCTCTTGGACCTTGGGTTCTTGACTCGGGTGCCTCTGATCACTTTTCTGGTAACCCTCACTTACTTTCTCATTTAACTAATGTTGCATCTTTACCATCCGTTACTTTAGCCAATGGCTCCAAAGCTGTTGTTAAAGCTGTTGTTAAAGCTGTAGGTCGTGCCAAACCACTTCCATCCTTAGAATTAGACTATGTTCTCTATATTCCCAATTGTCCATTAAATCTTGTCTCTGTCAGTAAACCTACCCGTTCTTTAAATTGTTCTATATCTTTTGATACTGACTCTGTTGTTTTACAGGATCGAGGCACAGGACATGAGTCATAGGGCCTTTATCATCTTCATCTACCATCTATAACATGCATTGTCACTGAATCTCCAACACTCCTTCATAATCGTTTGGCTCATCCCAGTTTAGTAAAGCTTAAAAAGATGCATCCTGGTCTATCTAATTTATCGTCTTTAAATTGTGAGTTATGTTAGCTTGGAAAACATTCTCGTAGCACCTTTCCAACGCGTGTCAATAAACAGGCTGTGTCCCCTTTTGAGTTAGTTCATTCAGATGTGTGGAGACCTTGTCGTGTGTCATCTGTTTTAGGTTTTCAGTACTTTGTTACCTTTATTGATGATTACTCATGCTGTACTTGGTTATTCCTAATGAAAACTCGTTCCGAGTTATTTTCCATCTTTGAATCTTTTTGTGCAGAAATTAAGACTCAATTTGATTATGTTATTCGAGTATTACGCAGTGATAATGCTCGCGATTATTTCTTTGATCCCTTTACTAAATTCATGTCTTCTCAGGGAATCATTCATCAGTCCTCTTGTGCTTATACCCCAAAACAAAATAGGGTTGCTGAGTGTACAAACAGACATCTCATTGAAACTGCCTGTACCTTGCTTTTACATAATAAAGTCCCTTTTCGTTTTTGGGCGGACGCTGTTTTGACTGCCTATTTCTTAATAAATTGGATGCCCTCTTCTGTCCTCAATGACGAGGTACCTCATTCCATTTTATTTCTTGATCAATCATTGTATTCTATCCCTCATGTCTTTAGGTGCACATGCTTTGTCCATGTTTTCCCTCCTAGTTAGGACAAACTGGCAGCTAAATCTACTAAGTGTATTTTCTTAAGGTATTCACGTCTTCAAAAAGGATATAAGTGTTATTCTTCATCAACACATCGCTATTTTCTCTCTGCTGATGTTACATTTTTTGAGTCATCTCCATTCTTTTCTTCTTCTACCTTAGATTGTGAGTCAATAACCACGATCCTTCCCATATCGTCCATTACCAACCTTCCTGAGTCTGTCATAGCCCCACAGTCTTCTACCACTGAGTCTCCCATTACAAACCATAGTCTTGTTCCATTTACAGGTACTACTTCTGATCTGGCTAATGTCCCTGAGGCTCCTGTTGATGGCAATCCTGCTCCTGATTCCTCCAATGCCACGGTCTTCTCTCCTGATGATCAGTTTCCCATTATCATTCGTAAAGGTATGCGGTTTACTTGCAACCCTCATTCGATCTATAATTTTTTTAAGTTATCATCGTTTATCTTCATCATATTATGCATTTGTGTCCACACTTTCTTCTGTTTTTGTCCCTTCAAATGTTCATGAGGCACTCTCTGATCCTGAATGGCGCTAGGCAATGATTGATGAGATGACTGCTTCGCATCATAATCACACATGGGAGTTAGTTCCATTACCTCCAAGACATTCGACTGTTGGGTGTCGTTGGATTTATACAGTCAAAGTTAGTCCTACTGGTCAAGTTGATCGCTTAAAAGCCCAATTAGTTGCCAAGGGCTACACTCAGATACACGGGACAAATTATTTTGATACTTTTTCCCTGATTGCTAAGATGTCTTTTGTCTACATATTCTTAGCAATGGCTGCTATTCAACATTGGCCTTTAAATCGATTGGATATTAAGAATGTCTTTCTTCATGGTGAAATTCAGGAAGATATTTATATAGAGCAACCTCCTGGGTTTGTTGCTCAGGAGGAGTTTATCTTGGTATGCAAACTTCGTCGTTCTCTGTATGGTTTGAAACAATCTCCTCGTGCCTGATTTGGACAATTCCATACTGTTATCCAAGAGTTTGGTATGATTCAGTGCGAGTCTGATTATTTTGTCTTTTATAGACATACAACACCAAGGCAATGTATCTATCTACTTGTCTACGTTAATGATATTATCATTACAGGGAGTGATCAAGATGGTATTGAACAATTGAAGAAATATTTATTCAGACACTTTCAGACCAAAGATTTAGGACTTCTTAAATACTTCCTTGGTATAGAAGTTGCTCAATCCAAATCTGGTATTGTTATCTCTCAGAGAAAGTAAGCACTAAATATTCTTGAAGAAACAAGAATGTTAGATTGCAGACCAATAGACTCTCCTATGGATCCTAATTTAAAACTCTCACTTGGACAGGGGGAGCCGCTGACTGATCCTGGAAGATACCGAAGACTGGTTGGTAAACTTAATTATCTCACTATCACATGACCTGATATTTCCTTTTCTATTAGTGTTGTAAGTCAGTTCCTACAGTCCCCTTATGATAGTAATTGGGATGCAGTTGTTCGGATTTTAAGGTATGTAAAGGGTGCACCAAGCAAAAGCTTGTTATAGGAGAATAGGGGTAATTCACATATTGTTGGATATTCTGATGCTAATTGGGCAGGGTCTCCATCTGATAGACGTGTTCTACTTCGGGTTTTTGTGCTCTTATTGGAGGAAACCTAGTGTCTTGGAAAAGTAAGAAGCAAGTTGTTGTTGCCCGATTAAGCGCATAAGCTAAATATCGTGCAATGGCCTTAACTACTTGTGAGCTCATTTGGTTAAAGCAACTGATCCAAGAGTTGAAATTTGTAAAAGTGTCACAAATGAAGTTACTCTGTGATAATCAAGTTGCCCTTCATATTGCCTCTAATCCAGTATTTCATGAGAGGACTAAACACATAAAAATTGATTGTCATTTTATTCGGGAAAAAGTTATATCTGGATGTATTACTAATAGTAATGTCAGTTCCAACGGCCAGTTAGCAGACATCCTCACTAAATCTCTCAGGGGTCCGCGCATTGATTTTATCTGTAACAAGTTTGGTGCATATGACTTCTATGCTCCAGCTTGAGGGAGAGTGTTGAAGTGTATAATTCTATATTAGGATATTAGGATTGTAATCAATATATATTAAGAACAAAATATGTAAAATAGGAAATTAGATTATTTGTTTCTTAGATTAGTTCTTTGTTTTCTTATATATTGATGTATTATTTTCTTATCATAATACAAGAAATACAAACACAATATTAGTTCTCTCTGATTTTTCACAAGAACCATATTTCTTATTGAAATTTTAAAATAAGAAGTGTTTTTCAGAATAATGTGGTAAAAGATAAAGGGCAAGGAGATAAGACAAGTGTTTATTCACCTTATAATAGGCAAACTTTTTATTCATGTCAAGCCACTTAAGAAATTGTTAATCCAAAAATGTCAATATCAAGCTAAAATATGTATCATATGTCCACATCATTGCAAGATAATCCGATTCCCATTGGAATTTTTAGTTTTGAGTGACTAAAACTAGGAAATCTTATATTGATTTAAAAACATATTCCTCGTGTAGTAGTCTAACCTGGAAAGAAAATTATTATAGGACATTTATGCTACTTCATGATATGACAGAGGCTTCAAGTTTTTAACAGGTTAAAAAATAAATAAACTGTGACCACAATCAAAATATTCAAATTAAATTCTTCTTTGAGGAGCCTAAAAGAAAGTTATTAACGACTTGAAACACAAGTGCTAACTGTATAATAAATATTTTGGTACAGGTTAAAAGTACCTTCAACTTAGAACTTTGAGATAACTCAGATGATAAAGCGTGCATCAACTCTTCCTTCTCTAACGCTAACTGAAACCAGAAAAGGTCCATTTGTGATTTTAATAAGAATACTTTAGCGATCTACTTCAACTTCCACAAAAATGACATTTTATAACAAAATGACAAAATCAGGCGAAAAGACTCTAAATCGTAATGAAGAAAATAATTTACGGGCATTAGAACAAACAATACCTCAGAAGTTAGTGCATTGATATTCTGTATCATTGTCATCTGATCAGATGGAATATTCACAGCTAAAACTTCAAGTTCTAATTGCCCATTTTCAGGTAGCAACAATGAACTGGACATATCAGTTCCAGCATGAGAAACAGTATCATGCATCTCCCGGTTGGAGTTGTCTACAGTAGTATCTGCATTTTTCACATAAATGAGAGAAATTAGTTTAGCACCCAGCAGATAACCAAAAATTAAATAAAAATAAAATAAGAAAACACCTTAGAATTAAACCAACTCTTAAAGAAAAGATCATAAACAATATCCACTATTCACTCATTGAACTGCTTATTTCTACATTTCATCATCTCCAAACTTGAAGGAGCTGAAATATGTTCACTCACTATTCATAAACATTATAACTCAGATCAATCTCATATCCACACACTCAAACACCAAATCAGAAGGGGAAACAAGATACTTGGAGAAATAAAAATTGGACCATTCCTGGATTATAATGTTGACTAAAATTCACAGATAGACATTCTACCCATTGAAGGTCATGAGAGATTAAACTACACGTATATACCAATCCTAACATTCTCAGAATTTAAAGTAACACAATCATTCAGGATGAAGAAGAAAGAGGAGGTCAAAGTGGGCCAGGGTCCAACCAATGTTTAAAAATGCAGCTTCAGATAACTGCACAATAAACTTCAATTTCAGCCCTCTCAATGTATTAGATTAGGCCCTAAATTTTCATAAATCATTTGCAGGCTACTACGATGCCTGCCTCTTCCCAAACCCCAGATATTTGCTTATTCAGTAGCACCATCAGCTCATGAGTGAACTTAACTGATGTCTATGCTATGCTTCTTGACCAATATTTCATCAGTTACTAAACTACCTAAAGCTTCTATTATTACATCAAATATAGTCTAACCCCTCTGCAAATAGTAAGGGCATTATTGTTTTCCTTAAAACAGAGAATCAAACCCCACAGAAGAAAAACTTTTGTAATTCCAAAATATATTTTTGTTCTTTGAGAGTCCTCTACACATGATAATGAATTCATTTATTTGTTGAATGAAGAAAACCTAGCCAATCATTCTGACAGATTTGTGATCATAAGTAAATACCAGTAAACTAAAAAAGGAATTCTATATTGTCAAATACAGATAATAAAATCAATTCATTTCTGTCTGATGATCATATTAAAGTTACCCTGGGCACCAAGGGAAATTTTAATATCCACAGTTGTAGAATATGCACAAGCCTGGTCTCAAACATAAAGAATTAAATGCATTAACACAATAATAGAGGATCCATACTTCAAACATCTTTGCTATATGTCAAACTAATCCTAGCTTTTAAGAAGTCAAATCACTTAAAACTGAACATCCCAATCCAATTCCATGGAACCAAACTTAAAGTTTTCTAAATCTGCAACAGAGGTTATGGTTCTAAATTTCATTAGAGTAAATCCATTCTACTTTTGTGGTGCAACAAAAATGAAAAGAAGATTTAGCTAGCACATCAAATGTTAAAGTCTAGAGGACTGGATGCAAAGTATATCATGCAGGGCACTAACTCCTTAGCAACCAAAATGATCTTGTTAACTTGATTTTTCCTATACAAGCAGACTTGTTGATTAAATCCAACGTCAATATTTACAGAATAGAAATAAGAAAACTAAGCAATGATTACCTAGATCTTCAGTGGAAGTTGACATATCTTTCCTACTGGTAGAATTCTTATTAAGATCAATAGATTTCCCACTACCAGAAGCTTTCCGAAGCTTAGATTGCAACAGCTTCTTCTCTGTGTAATACAAATTAAAATGAGAAGATAAGCATATAATTCAATGTAGACATTAAGTATCATATTGACTCAATATTAGCATCCTCACCTTCTTGAAGAGCATCAATAGTTGACTGCAAATCCTGACGCTCTTTCTCCAGGCTAGACATTTTCCTTCTGCAAGATTCAATTGAAATAAAATGACCTGTTGTTATAAGATAACTTACTCTATATTCTGGAAATATAGTATTCTCAAGGATGACATCAGATATATTGCAAATTAAAGAAAGATGACAACAAAAGCACCCCAAATAATTAATGCAAAACAAGGAGAAAAAAACAGAGTTATACTCCAGTGTAGAACTTCAGGATGACCAATCCTAAAAATTTCCACTAGGCAAGTTTAAATGACCTATCAATTACATATATCTTCTATATGTAATGTTATTCATGTTTTCCCTCTCATTTTTTTTTTTTTTTTTTTTTTTAAATTTGTTACAGGAAGCATGAAAGTGTCAATAAGAATGCACAATCAGCAAAGCAGGTCTCTAAACATATCAGTACCAAACAGCTCCTCAAAATGCTAGGCATCTTGGTAACTTAAAACCTTTACTTTTCATTTACAACATCTTAAGCAGCTCTTTAAAATGCAACTAGTTTAAGAAAGAATAAGATAAGTCATAAAAAAGAACACCAAAAACATATTAATATTAAAAACAAAGAAAAAATCAACTTTTTTCATCACAATAGGTTCCATTGTTAAGGCAAATGAAAAAGTCTAAGTCTCCAAATACCAGGTGCAAGAACATGAGCTGCCATTTAAAGCAAACATGTAGAAGCTCTGGACAGGATCCAGATTACCTATCTCAAACCTTATCATGGAATACCAACACCAATAATGGACCAACTCAAAATACTGTGATAAAATTCCCAAAATTTCAAATAAATTAGAGTTAATAGCATTAACCCCCTTAGGTTTGTTTAATAACAAAAATCTCATGGGGTTTATGAAATAACAGATATCCCACTACTGTTAAATTTTAGGTGTTAAAATAAACAACAGGAGTTATTCAGTAAATATTAGTTAACTTTTATAATGGTATAGGTTCTAACATACCACTAATTGTTCACTAACATTATAGGGATTTTTGTTATTCCAGAAGCCTCAGGGGCAATTTGTTATTTCAGAAACCTCGGGAGAATTTTTATTATTACATCATACCTCAGGGGTCAATGTCTTTAACTCAATAAATTATCATAACCTAATTCATACACATATTAGTTATAGTACAGAATTATGCATTAGAGTAATGTTACAGCCACCGACGGTAGTGCACCGAATTATGTGGTAAAATCTTGACCGTTGATTAATATTAAGTTAAAATTAATCAACGGTCAGGATTTTGCCACGTCATTCGGTGCACTATTGTCGGTGGCTGTATTATTTTCCTTATGCGTTATGACCATCAAAGTTGAAGAACCATTCTATAATTTTCATGCTACTCATAGTATAACAATAATTAGAATTACTAACAAATCCAGACACAGCATCAGAACAAACTGCATGCACAAGGCACAGCTTCTGAACACAAATACAATGTAGGACCAATAATAAGTCCATAGATGCATGAGCTGTACATTACCACATCTTCATATTCGATCACATAAAAATTAAAGCATACTTGTATGAAGAGATTTCAGATTGAGAGTTCTCCAATTGCCTCTCCAGCTTTAGCTCACTCGACCGAAGTCTGAGTGCCTGAAAAGATTATACAAAGAACTGATATTTTAAGGGAAAACAAAATATATCCAATGCCAAAGACCACACAGGTCAACTGTGGATATAATTAAGAACATTAAAAAAAAATATATATATATATATATCTTATTGTTAGTAAAGCTTCAAGTATCAACAAAATTTATGACCTTTTCTTCCAAACCAATTACTTCAGAAGCCAATATCTTGGCACGTTCTTCAGATGCATTACATTCTAGTCGAGCAATTGCATATTCATTTTTGACAGACTCAAGTTCTACCTGCAAAGATGAGATAAAATTTGGTAAGAGAAAAAAAAAATCAAAGAGATGAAATATAGTAACAACATTGAGAAATTCCACCACCAGAAAGCATAGGGAACTAATTAGAACTACCACAACTATCACATATGACACACTTTGTAGAAAATCCATAACATAGCAACATACCCATATATCATTTTTTAGTAGAAAATATCAAACATGGCCCCAGCCAAAATGATATTCCTTCAATTCCTCCAAAGCTTCAAAACAGCACATAGGAGATCATGAAAGGCAAACCATTGTTTAAGCTAATACTTTCACCAGTGTACCAAAATTGGTCCAAGAAAACCTAACTTTCCTATCGTTTATAATACCAAAAATCTTCAGTCTGCACACACATTAATCCATCCTCAACTCTCCAAAAACACCAAAGTGATAGAATAGCAGGACTGCTATACGAAATAGTCATATAATTTCCAGATCTTGATTTTCATTGAATGATTAACCAGAAAAGTAGGGACGAACCAATTAACATAACCATAAGCCTATCCATATCTAATGAAAAATTTGGTACGAGATTAATTAAATGACTATATAATTACTAATCCAGATCCAAGCCCCAATTACTAAATATATTGCTGCATATTGATTTCTTTCATTTAGTATGATCAACACCACCATGAGTGAAAAATTTGATAAAATTTAATTCAAAGCTCAAGAAAAGAATGTCAATCTCAGAAATTTTAAACATTGGAGAAAGCATCTTTTGTTCCTTATGTAGCAAGGGTAAGTACCCATTTAAAAGATATCCCACATACTAAAGACCTTTTGCTTGTGATTTGCAAGACACTTCACATTAATGATTAGTATATATGTTAAACTTTATATACGCACAAATATACACAACTACTCATATAAGTTTAAATTTTTCAGAGTTACATGCATGGCCTCTCGTGTCAGTGCCAGAACACAACTACCATGTCCCTGATGATAAATCATAGCTTCTCATAAATTTCAACTAGCCCCTATCGGACAAACAACTACCTGAAAGCCCAGTCAAATCCCCTACTGACCCAACACATTATGTGTGTTTAGAACTGTTCTACCTGAAATACTTGCTGGAATAAATTCTTTGAACCAAAGAAAAATCACGGAGGAATGAAATTAAACAGGGATGGGACAGAGATGGGAATGAAATTGATACACCTCCTATTCACAAAGTTTATAAGTATAAAAGGGGGAAATAAACTGAAGGGCAGCGGGGTGTAAAAGACGTTATGGGCAGGGGTGTAAAGAGTGTGAAAGGGAATTGGTTAAGGGAGATAGTTAGAGGAATATACACGTGTCTAGCTGAGATGAAATGTATATAACTAAAGAATGTGAGAGAGTGTGGGTATTGAGTGAATTCTGGAAATTGGTTGGGACGTCCCTAGCTCCTCAAAGTGCTAGGATCCATATTCTATCACTTTATTGCATCTCTGTTTACTGCTATTCCATTGTTATTCTGAATTCATATATGAAATATACCATTTTGGTTCCATTAAATTCTGTCTTATCTCTATATTGTGCACTGTTCCCGTGTGTGGTTGTGTGGAGTCTGATTCAATAGGAAGGGTTTCCATCAGAATTAAATAAGGAATCCCATCCCCACAGCCAATTATATTTCAGCATAATTTTTTATGATTTCAATGAAAATTTATAATTTTCGGTAGTCACCTAATATAATTCTCATATATAGGAAAATAAAATTGTTATTTGCACCATATCAAAACATGAAACTATAAATCTTAGCACGGAATGATTAAATTATATATGATCCATCATATTCAACAATATTATTACTAAGTACTGTGTATTTTTTATTAATATATTAAAAATGGGGCAAGGTTGGGGGTCGAGGATTGAAATACCAACCTTGTCTGTTTATAACCAGGTACAAAATAATCCTGGTCCCCCTTCTTCCCCTCTTGATTAATGATTATTACCTCCCAACCCCACTATATTTGGGGCAGCTCCCTGCAGGTACCAGGGTCCCCAAAAAATTTTGGCATCCCTGATGTTGCTGTCAAACATTGGGGTGAGTTCTATACAATTTGCGTGCTTTTGTATATGCTAGAGCTTAAATGATATTGTTAGGCCTTTATCTATCAATTTAAGCTTTAGACAAAATGATAACTTAACAGGGAAGATGAAGATGCAAAGTTAGAAGACATAAATATCAATACTTTTAGAATATATTTGCAATCCCATCATAAAATGAATTTTCAGCCCATGGAATTCATATAGTAACCAGTAACACAGCAATCAATATACAGACTGGTTTGCACACTCAGTATTCATTATAATTATACGGCACATAGTACACACAGAAAATGTACAAATATATAAGTACATAATATAATGGGAAATTAAGCCTATGGATAAAGCTGCACAAAAACCATGCCTCATAGACATCAAGTTAATAACAATAAATACTAACCAGTTGGGCCTTGATCTCTTCCTGCAACTTCTCCATGTCTGATTTAAGTTGGTTGACAACGCTTCTCTGGTTATAAAACATGCAAGTAATCAAATAAATAGATAATATCAATAGACTAAGAATACAGATGAGATACCATCAAGTAAGATCACCGGGCTATCAGAAATTTCATAAAGCTGTAATGAACAAACACCAGTGCTGTGAACCCTAGGGTACAAACAGGAAATTTAATCCATAGACATTTTAATTTGATAATTAAAAGTAAATTCTCCTTCCCTTGAACTTGGACACCTATTTTATCCTCTGTTCATGAGACAACACACTATAACCCTATTGCCGATTAAATAATCCAATACTAATTATGCATAATAATGTAAAAGAACATTTAAGAAACAAACACCATCAAATAACATTAGTATTAAGAGTAACATTAAAAACTGCTATAAGTCCAGTTGAGTCTAAATGGTCTGGAATCATTTTCCAGCAACATGAACGAAACTGGCAAAGTATTATAGAAATGCATAATAAAATAACCCACAGTAATCGCACCGCCTTAAAAACACACTGGAAGACAAACTGTGAACAACATAGCCATTAGTATCATAGTTTAAAAGCCAACCTGTTGATTATAAGTATCAGTCAGCGATGAATTTTCAGCAGCCAAGGATTCTGCTAAAGCTCGTGAAGCCTCAAGAGATCGTTGCAATGAAAACTTTTCTTGTGTCAAATCTTCTATATGCTGCAGGCAAGAAAGATAATAAATATTTCTGAGACAACAAACTCATGGAACAAATTTATCAAAGCATTTGTGTGCCAATAAAGGAAAAGTCCAAGGACCGATGCTACCCTTTGCCTAAAATACAAGAGTTGTTTCAGAATTCATCAAAAACCTCCCTTAAATATTTAAATTCATATCAAACCTCTCCTGCAAATTTGTCAAAATTCAACAAAGAAATAATCCACAACAAGCTGCCTGTATTTAAGCCTCATGGGAGTTAGCAAAATTTTTCACTAAACAAAGGATTCCTGACAGATACAATAGGAAAACTGTTCCACCACGCATAAATAAATGAAAATCAAGGAGGAAATATAAGTAACCACTCTTTGATCATCAATGTATCTAAAGCAGGAAGGCAGACTTTGAGACTATTAGGCTTAAGGAAGCACATTAACCAGCTGACAAAGATTACCTTCTATTTTTGCCGTCTTTTTAAAGAAACTAATTTCTTCAAGTCCATGAATACTGACAAGTATGAATTGCTATATACTTCCAATTTAAAAAACTGTTGAATTTCAAAATAACAGTAGAAGAATTAATTTTCATGGTTCCGTGGTTAACACCAAAAACATTAACTGGTACAAAACAAAGGTTGTCAAACACACATTAATAGAGTAACACCCAACTATTTTCCCTTTACGAAAAATAACACATTCTTTTTTTTTTTGTAAAAAACATAGACAAAGTGCCACCTTATGCAAGCCAGACATTTTCTATAAATCTATTAACTGACAAAATTCAAAAAATATATAGGCTTAGTTTGGTTCACATTTGGGAATACTACTATTAGTATTCCCAATAAAGTTAAACAGTAAAATTGCAAAAACTTACAATATTATTCAACTTTTTTTAAACCCCTTAAATTTGTTAATTTAATTAAATGTCCCTAAATATTTTTTTAGAAATTGCGAAAAAACCCCAACAACCTATATTTACCAGATTCCGGCCACCCCCGCCGGAAAATAGCCGGAATTTGGTATAATGGCGCAATACCGGCTGAATCTGGCTGGTAGTGCGCCGATCTAGCCTTTTCCGGCCAGATCTTTGGCCGTAGTCAGTCGTCAATGACGGCCAACACATGGTCGTCGTTGACCATCAACGACGGCCGTATCTTTGGCCATCGTTGACGAGCAAATACGGCTAGATCTGGCCGTCAATGGCCAGATCTAGCCGTAGATTTGGCCTTTGCCGATCAAATCCACCGTGGATCTGGCCGGAAAAGGCCATATCGGCGCACGACCGGCAAGATCCAGCCGGTCATGCGCCGATACGACAACTCTGGTCACCCTCCGACGGTGGTGGCCGGCTGTCCATATTTAATGGGTGGGTTGGGGGTGTTTTTGTTAACTTTTAATGTTTTATTATAGGGGTGTTTAGTAAATAAACAAACATAGGGGGGTGTTTAGTAAATAAACAAATATAGGGGGTATTTTTATTTATTTTCAAATCCTACATCGTAATACCTGCCCAATTCAACTTTTTTTAACTTTTTTCCAAAAACTTTTCTAAAACGTGTTAAAAAAGTGAACCAAACGGAGCCCTCTTCAATGTTCCCACACTTTTTTTTTTTTTTTTTTTTTTTTTTTTGGATAAGTTCAATGTTCCACACATTTAATGCACAGGATATTTTATAGGATATTACAAACATTCAAGCTACTTGAAAACATGTCACTCCAGGAAGCATAAATAACAATAGAAATTTGAATTTTTCTTTCAGAGGCTAAATAAGATAATATAAGAATAAAGAACAACAACAAACCAGTGAAAGCACTACATGCACCAGGTGTGGGTACCTGCTCCAGTGCAGCAAAATCTTCATTCTGTTTGGATGAATAGAATACATCTCTCATTGCCATGTTGCTTTCATTATTATGCAGCCTCAACATGTCTGCTCCATTACTAGCAGAAACTGAAGAATTGCTTAGATAATCAAATTCACCTGACACATTAGGGACAATTGATTTTGAAAAAGGTCCAATAGTTTCAGTCTCCATTGAGAGCTTCTGGACAACAGATGATCCCAGAACATCTGAGTTGTTTAATGGTGAACTATTAGACATAAATGACTGCTTTTCTGGTTCAGATCGTTGAAAAGGTGCCCCTGATGAAAATCTTGAAACATTAAGAGAATCAAGGAAAGATGGACGAGATCTTGTAGAAGTAAATTCATTTGCGCCTGAATACATGGGTACATGATTGGAGAAACTTCTGATATCAGAACTGAAACTTGAAGATTCAGATGTTCTAAATGGCACACCGTGCCCAATAGGCAAACCACTGGTAGAGGTACTGAGCTTTCCTTCTTCCATATCAAAGATCGAAGGATTATTTAACTGTGAACCGCCATGCAACTTTTTACCAACTTCAAGGGCAGACCCTCTCAGGCTGTTGGAAGGTTGAGTAGAGTCTACCATTAACCCAAATGTATGCAAAAGAAGTCAGTTGCTTCCCCAAAGAAAGTACTAAAGAATGTTTTACAGAATTAAAAAGAAACATGTGAAATTTGCTAGTTTTAATCACTAAAGACATGTTCAAAAATTACAACATACCTTCAAAAGAAGAGTGGAATGTGCGGCCATTACCAAGTGTGGTGACATTATTCTGAGGGATCATGTTAGTGGCAAAATCATGAGAAAAACCAGGATTGATAGCTGAAGAGATCTTCAAAGGACTGTAATTTTCTTTTAATTGCATTTCTTCCATTCCTAGAAAACTAGATCTAATAGAACCGCTACCATGATCTAGACTTGCTTGAGAGCGCAGGTCAAAAATTTGGTTATTATTAACACCTATTGATTCTGCAGAATCTGAAGAAGCATCTATCTTAATTTTTTGATTGTTTGAATACATCTGTGCTAGATCTCCAGAAGAAGATTTAAAATCATTGGCTGAAAAAGGAAAATGGGCATGTGTATCATTCAAAGATCCCCGTTGACTTTGCAAGGCTACTTCAATTGCTTTTTTGTCGTTGTTATTCATTATAGAAGTAGGTTCAGTAATAGCTTTATCAGGTCCATCAGATGTACCAGCTCCATTGGAATCTGTGACTCGCACACTATCAGCTTCTAAGTGATGTCCGTCTTGTAGGCTAATATCAGAAGCAAGAGGTTGGCCAACAGACAGAGTCTTCTTGGCTCGTTCCGCTGCCTTTTTCTTACGGAACTCCTCTAGCTGCAGGAGGAAAGAAAAGAATATGTCAACTTCAAAAGATAATTAAATACAGAAAATTGCAATAGAAGAAACACCTCTTGACGGCATGCAAAGATGGAGAAACATAAGTAATAAAGTACTTCAACATAAGCTTCTGAAAGGAAATGAAAATTCTCTTTGACTAGAGAACTAGGAAAAGCTCATATAGAGAATAATCAGCACCAAAATGACGAAAAATGAACCTACTACTACATACTTAATTGGTAAGACATTGGAGTATCAGACGAAGTTCGTTTATAATTACTTTGCACCTTTAGCTTTTCCAGTGATTGTTTCTCATAACAGTATCTAGCAATCAAAGCCTAGTCTGACTAAAAAACCTTTTGATTGGATACACGATAGTATGATCACAACAGTAACAATTACTCAAAATTATACCAATAACAATAAAATTCCATAAACCATATTAAATCTTACAAAACTATCTTAATTATAAGGCTAATAATGCTCGACGAAACAATACAAAACCTAATTACGATGATTTTATCATATGCAGCATAAAGAATCAAAGCTGCACCAATACCACATACTACATGATAATCCCAAAAACGCACGATTCAAGACAATGTGAAGCCAAAATCTAGTAGATTTCCATATTTCGTGCAAAAGTGATGGTACAACAACTAACAAAATCAATAGCCTCCTCGTTTAACATCATCACAACTTCAAAACAACAAAAACAAAATAAAAAATAAAACGTACCTTCCGCTTTCCGGCTTCCAAATGCTCTTGTTTACGCGATGTCGGCAACACCTGAGCCGACGCCATTTGATCCGAAAGAACGATTTAACGGCTCAAAAATATCATAAGAAGGAATCGAACAAAATTTTAAAAAATATAATGAAATAAAACCCTAGAAATTACAACAGAATTCAGATCAAGATGAGATTTGAAATTAAAAGAAATGGAAGAAAAAAAAAACGGCTCGGGGAGAAAAAAAAAACGGCTCGGGGAGAAAAAAAAAATTTAGACAAAGGTGGTAAGGGCCCCCGATCTAATCGGGGAGAGAAAAGAGAGATTTTGTGCGTGAGAATAAATAAATATTTAAAAAATATATAACTATTTATTTGGATTTGTAATTGCTGTTGTTGTGTCAGATCTCCGTTCTTGTCCGTCCCTTTTGTTTCTCCCCCAATTTGAAATTTCAATTTTTACGTATTTATTAGTTGGTTTAATTTTATTTTTTTTGGTTTGATATAAATTGGTGGTAGGAATTGTTGCCTGTTGCTGTTGGTGTTACAATTTGACGCATGTGGGAACACAACAGAAGCCCACGTTTGCTGAATCCAAAAGCAACCCAACATCTTTCCTTTTCTCAATTGGATCATCAACACTCTATTTCATGCATTTAATTATACAAAGTTATAATAAATAAATAAATAAACTTTAACGTTAATTAATTAGAATTTTTAAATTAAATTACTATCGCCAAAAAAAATAAAAAATAAAAAATAAACAGAAAATGTTACTATCGCCAAAAAAAGGTGACTGTTGTATATTTCCTTAAAACTGATTGTGTAATCACTAATCAGTAAAGATGTGAATACAATAATTGTAAATATTTAAGGTAAGTTTCATTAATTTGATTTTTTTTTTTTTTCTTATTATAGTATGAACATCTCACCAACTTTTCTTTTTGAGTCGAATTCAATCTAATGTACATTACATTAACGGTGTAAAAGAATTTAAAATATGAGACACGTAATTGTAAAAGTAATATAAATTTATTATATAGGTTGTTGTGTCTCAATCATTCTTTTTAATTTATTTGTAGATTAATTCTTAAGTTAATAACAAAAAAAGAAGTTTATAAATTTATTTGAAAAGTAAATATAAAAAAATCATTTTCTAGTGTTCAAGAGTAGGTTAGGCTGACTTTAAAAGTCAAAAGTTTCAATATAAGTATAAAAAATAATACTACACGTACAAAAAAATCTTATAAAGATTTTTATATAAAGCGATGTGGTAGAAATTAAATAGAAAAGTTAATATGATAAGTTTGATTTTTTATATTTACTGTTCCATTCATTTTTTATATCATTATTTTGTATTTAACATTATCAAATTCTAATTTTTTTTTTTTTATAATAATACTCTAATAATTAACCTTAATTCTAAATTTAATTTTCATAATAATTATTTAATTTAAAAAAAAACTAGAAAATTTGATAAATTAGCTAGCACAGCATCATTGATGTTGTATTCAACAACATTATTGGGTAGATTTTACGGTGATGAGAAATATGAGAAATATTGCAATTACAGATAAATCTTATAAATATTTCTGTATAAAGTAATGTGACAAAAAATGAATAAAAGAGTATATTTGTGCAGTAATAAGTAATTAAAATGAAAGCTAAAACAATCTCAAATTAGAACTTAGCGTAATTACATGAAGAAAAAAAAAAAGGTTCTATCCTCTACAATTATTACCCTAAAACTCTAAGGTCTCATATCTTACAAAGCAACCGGAAAGATAGAACTAGAATCTTTGACAATTATTTTCAAAGTTTATCAATATGTTATTTTTGGAGAAATTAGTAGTGTCTAAAATTTATATTTACCTGAGTTTATATATATATAGATTGTGTGTAGTTTTAGTTTTCCTATTATTAGGTTTAGGGTGGGTTTGGGGTTGCTTAACTTCTCCCATAATAAATTACTTGTTTCTTAAGCAATTGTAAAAACTGTGTTTGGCAAACAATTTCAAAAGTGATTATAGAACAATATACTTCTTCCATAATCTATTTTATTGAAGGATCTCAAAGTAGGGATTTCTAGCTTTTAGAATTCAAAATCAGCTTTTAAAAAGAGTCAATTACCAAAGCTTCAAGATTAAACATAGATTCTAATTTTACTAAATATAAATTCTAATTTTATATGAAAAAATTTTAAAATTAGATTATTAAAAATAAAAAATATTTAAAACGCAAAATACTAAACTGGCCACGGAGTAGTCGACCAGATTCTGGCCAGAAATTTTGTTTCACAAGTGCAGTTACACCATTAGCATATTGCGATTGTCGATTTGTGATCTACGCAATGGAGCTGGAGGGTTGTTTGACAAATGCGTCCGTTTGAGACAACAATCTGGGAAAGTTTCGTCAAAACTTTTCGGCTTGCTTGTGATGAACACTGCCTAATTTTGGAAGACCGCCACTTGGAAGAAAACATTTTCCAGTGATGGTGACCGGCCACTTGCCGATAGCTGTTTTAATTTTTTGTTTAAAAAAATTAAACTTTATATATTTAATTACATGATAGAAACTTACTTAAAACTGTCCATTTTTTGTCTTTTTGTTTTAGTCAATTTCATTTCTCAAAATCAAAAGTGATTAAAATTATGAAAAACAAACACCTAGTAGATTATATTATTTTTAAAAGTAGATCTATAAGTGATTACGAGACAAGTTACAACAATCTAAAAATATAAGGACAAATATTCAGAAAGGGGTGAATAGAAATTATAAAAATAATTTGCGGAATAAAAACTATCGACAACACCAATGAATAACAATGAGTTTAAATAATAATGACAATAAATAACTCAACCAACAATGAATGAATGTAATGAATAAACAATGTTAGAGCATAAATGCGAGAGAGAGCAAATATGGTGATAATGATGTTCGAGTAAATATGCAAGAAATAATAATAAGTTGAAAGAGAAGAAATGCTCATAGATTTATAGTGGTTTGGAGCTCTATCACACGCCTCCGATATTCACTTCTTCAAGATAACCTGTTGAAGATCTACTAGAATCGGATTACGCCAAGCAAATCCACTAGAATTGGATTGCACCAAATACATTAGTTTGACATGATTTCACATTTTTTACAATAGTTTAACAAAAATTTCGCATCTACATACAGGATTTTGGCCACAAGATGTTTGAATAAAAACACGTGAAAGACTGCTTCTTAAATTAGGGTTAAACACACAATCAATTATACATGGTAACCTAATACAACCAACGTGGTAAGATAACACAATCTTTGTGATATGGTAACAAAATATACAAGTATACAACCAAATCTCAATAGTAAGTATGGTTATTACTGATTGCGAATCATTTAATCATATGGACAAAACAAGTATCAAAGTTTGATCAATAACAGATTGTATTACTCCATAAAGTCCAAACTACAGGGGATGTTTCAAAATCATACTAAATGTCAAAGGAGGTTTGTCAGCAAATTAAACCAAAAAAGTCAATAAAGATACCTAATGAATTTCAATACAATTTTACTTTGCCTTTATGAATTTAAAAAATGAAAAAGATCGATTTTTTTAACTGCAATAAAACTCAGGAATTAAACTCGTGAGAGTGGATAGAGCAAACTAGCCAGCCAGCTAATATGAACAGCTTGTATGCAATAAAGAAATAAACAATGGCTATTCGAGTCACCAGACTCCAAGAAAAAGAAATGACTAGAATTTCCCCTCCTACTTTATTGACTTGAAGCTTTAAATACAAGTAGAAGTAAAACAAAATCCTACTAACCAGCCACGTGCTCCTAATAGTTGTTAAAAAAGAGAGGAAATAATAGCTAAAGAAGGGAATAGAAGCTACTCTAACTAGTCCGTAAAGAACAGTTCATACTAAAGAAAAAATCCTTATTGACTTCCAGATAATCTCCAGCTCACCAATATTGGCTTAGAAAACCTATTTGCTAATTGCCATTTAATTGGTTTGCATCAAGTTTCTCTCTTGAATTTAATATAAACCAACAGTTTCTGAGGGTCAGGAACATTTTCTTTGATGACAGTAACTTCCTTGAAGTTGTTAAACACTGCATATACGAGGGAGAGTGGGTGGTTCCAGCAATTTTATACCAATAACTTCTTGAATGGTCTCAAACCATGAGGCAGCCAGCCATGCGCAATGTCTACAAGATTGATAGCATCCCCACCAAAGAACATCTTATCTCCAAGGCCTTGTTCTTCCAAGACTTTTAGCACTTCCAAGAACTCTTTTCTGCCTTGTCTTGCTCTTCTCCAGTAGTTTGGAAAAGTGAGTGGAAAGTAGAAGCCTAAATCCATGTCCCCAAAATTTATTAAAGAAGTTTTCAAGCACAACTGGATGTAAGCATTCAAAAGAAGAAAGATTCGTGGGTTAATTTAATTACCTTTTCGACACCATATTTAATCCAAAAGCGAGTTATGGCTTTCTCATAAGCATCAGTTGGCAGCAATGGATTCTGAGGCCATATTTCTTCAATATATTCAAGGATGACAAGTGACTCGGCGATTGGTTTTCCACCATGAACAAAGACTGGGATTTTCTTGTAAACAAAGAGCAATTCACTCTTGTTTGGAAAGTTTTTTCTATGTACTCGTATCAACACCTTTCAGTTTCAGTGCCCATATCACTCTGTGGCTAATGGGCTTCCCCAAAATCCATGTAGCTTCGCTTCTTTCATTGTGAAATGAAGATTTCAGGTCTGTACGGTCAATATATATTTGGTTAACAACAAAGCTACGGACGCCGAAAAATTTACACTGAAAATTTGTACCGGTCTATGTGTACCAGGCACCTAATTTTTTTATCAATTTTTTTCTAGTGAACGGCCGTCCATTAATTTGGACGGGGTCCATATATCAGGACGAGCGTCTCCATTTAAAGGCGCCCGTCCATAAGTAAATAATAATAATTTTTTTTATAAAAATTAGGGACGACCGTTCATCGTTATGGATAGCCGTCCTTCATTTTGGACGGCACCGCAAATAAGGGACGCCTGTCCTTAACCAAAATATGAAAATAAAAAAAAAAATTTGGGGACGGCCGTCCATAATTACGTTGGAGGGCGTTCATTCCCATACTTTTAAAAAAAAAAACACCTTCTTCACTCTTCTTCTTTCTTCGCCAAGCCAAAAACCACAGTAACATCTCTCACAATATAGCTATTGATCTCCATGGATTCTAACCCAACAATGCTTAGGATAGCAACTCTAATATCAGAAATTTAAAAGGAGGAGGCGCAGCAGGGTCAAACTCACCACCATCTTCTTCTTCTCTAACTCCATTGATTTTCTCCTCCCTTAAGATCATTCTGAACCCAACCTGCTTGCATTGAACACAGTATGCTGAATTCTTTGACTGCAAGGTGGAGTTTGAGGACTTTACCAGAGTCGGGGAGACTGCACATCTTAGAGAGAGGTAAAATCAGAAAGCATT